GGCCCTGAGATGCAGTGGGGGGCTCTGGGTCTATAGCTCTCGGCTCACTCTCACTCCGGGCATCTAATTGATTGAAATGTCAGGGAAAATTGCCTGAAACCTTAAACCCATGGTCTTCTCCTTCCTCCCACCCTCATCTTCTTCCTCACTCTCAGCCTCGTCCTTTTTTGAATTCCACCAGCCACTTGAATTCTCATTTGATGCTGCTCAACTAGAATACACGCCTCAAAAGATTGTTGCAAGAATTAAAGGAGGTAACGCATCCGTGGCAGCACGGAGGTGTTCCACTTACAGGTCTCTTCAGGAGTGAGGCTGGTGCACGTTGTGTCCCGGGCTGGCTGCCCAAAGCTGCTGTGTCTGCAGGATCCAATGCGGTTTTCACACCCAGGCTACCTCCACCCGGGCAGCTCCCGGGAAACACAACAGGCCATTCGTGCCAGTGAGCACTCCTCTACTTTCTAACGACCTGGCTAAGACTTCTTCCAGAAGTGCGCCCCAGCCAGAGGCTCTCACCTGATCCTCCTTCCTTCCTTTTCATTCTTACCCTCAAAGATGTAGACCAGCATTGTGGTGTTGTAGACCGCTCTGCCTAGTTTTAGGATTTGTATCTGGATCCCTCGTGGCTAAGGGCGAGAGACGACCTTTGGAATGCCAGCCGCAGGAGACAAAGCCTGTCTCTGGTAGCAAACGCTGCCTCAGTTCCTCTCCCTGCCCCCAGAGCTTGGTCGGAAGTCAGTGACGGGTAAGACCCCTCGCAGCGGGGGGCAACCTAAGCCAGACTCGATCACTTGGGAGGCCTTCATGGAAGGACTCAGGGGGGCTGCAACAAAGAGCAGTGGACTCTCGCCCCCCGGCTTTGACAAAGCCTGAGTCCCCATGTACTCTGGGAGAAGCGCTTCCTGGCTCTAATCCCCTTTCGCCTGAATACCTGTTGGGGAGAGGTGCAGTTCCCTGCCTTGCTAGAGTGTGTCCTGGGGAAAAATCTGGCACCACAAAGACTTCCTGATAAACCTGTGAAATCTACTCTGCTAAGAGTGCTTTCATTCATATGATAAGGGTCCGAGAGGAATTGAGTACTCTCCCAAAGTTTCTGCAACTCTCTTCCTGACAGACACTGACTCAGACTCTGAAACCCTCAGATTTCTTTGAAGTGTTATGTATGGTTTGATCCTTGCCGCCCTGTATTCCTGTGTATTACAACCCAGTAAAAGGCTATGGAAGAGGGCGCTCGGGGCCTTTTTCTCCTCGGAGAAGCTGGCCGATGCTGGCCTTTGTCTCCCCTGAGAAACTGGCCACAGCCCACTCCTCCTCCCCTAAGCAGATCTCAGCATGTCTCAGTCATCATTTATTCACACGTGTCCGTGGCACCGGGGGGACTCGTGGAGAAGTCACCCCACATTGTGGGGAAGGGTCTCCCAGGCATTTGTCTTTTACTTCTAGTTCTGCCGTGTCAGGTGCTTCCTAGGGGCCTGAACTGACACAGCATATAAAGTACTGGGCATAGAATGAAGGTTCTGGAAATGTTAGCCTTTATCGTTACAGTAATTACAATTTAATTAAACTAATGACTCTCCTACCAGAGGACCCCTTAGAAGCACCTGTTCCCATAATGATCTGATCCAAGAGTCCTCAGTGGAATCTTCGGCCTTGCCTGGCCAGTCCATTTCTCTGCCCCCTGGCACCATTCCCAGCAGATCATTTCTGCTTTTTCTAATGCTTCACTGTGCAGATGGGATTTCAAAAACACTGGAGGCTTTAGGCAAAACGTGGAAAACTTCAGAATTAGCTGGGAAAATGGGCGTCGAAGCCCTTCATCTTGGCAAGAACAAACACCCTGGTCCTGAGAGTCCCAAACAAGCAACAATAGAAGCCACGTTCATTAAAAGGAGCCTTTCCTGGGGAGCTGTGGCAAGTCGCCGTGGTCCAGGCAGTATGTCTGTCACTGCTGCCCATGGGACATACTTAGATCCAGAGTGGGGAAACGATGCAAAGGCAGTAAGGGGAAGACAGAAGGGTCCACGAAAACACCCGCCAGCCTGCAGCCCCAAAGCATGTCCGTTAGAGCACATGAAACACTTTTCAGTGCGAGGTTCCATCAACACTCCTGAGAACCCTGCTATGATGACGGCCATAAACCCCCTGCTTCTGAGATCTGAGTGGCTGGGTCCAATTCAGTGACCATGAACTTCATAGAAAAACTACCAACAATAATATAATCACTATGGGAAAGGTGTTATTGATGTCCTACTTATTGCAGCAAAGAAGCAACCGACAATCGACAGCAATCAGGTACTTAATAAAAACTGCTTTGGAGACACTGCTGCTGGAAAGGTCATCCTAGCTGGCACGCCGGACTCAGCCATCAGTCCCAGTGAAGCCCGCGGCTGTTCTTCTTGGAAGTGCTTCTTCCCTCAAAATAAAAACTCTGAGACTTTGGGCCCATCCAGAGGAAGAGGAACCCATTTTGATCCAAATACTCACATAAAAGCCATGAGTATGATGACCACCTAAGTAGACCCTGGCACATGCAGGGGTCAAGGGCAAGGTAGAAGAGAGGGGAGGAGAACCCCAGAGATGGCTACAGGTTTCACTCAGTTCACAAAGCCAACAGTGGGTCTCAGCACAGTTCTGTAACTGTAATTAGTGTGTTGCTAATAAAATAACCTAACAAAAGAAAGGGTCAACCCCATCACGACCCCACAGCCACCAACTTTGAGGAGCAAAGTTATATTTAGTTACTAGGGAAAACAACTGGGATTGTAATTACCTGTCTCTAATACAAATTACTCACTTGTGATTTCTATTCTAGGGAGATACCCTTTCTGTACCAGAAAAGCACTGGCTTGTGAACATGCCAGACCTGGGCCTGAGCACGGTTCTGATCCTTCCCTAGCTGTGTAGCCATGAGCAAGTTACTGCTCTCTCAGAAATCCAGTTTCCTCATTTGGAAAATAGGGATAAGAATAACTACCCAACAGGAATTTGGTGAGACAAAATACCATCATGTATGCGAGAGATCTTAACATCTTGTCCCAACAGATTTATTTAAAATCAATCATAATCATATCACATATGACAGATGCATAGCCCAGACTTCCCTATATTTATCTCTGGTCCTAAGAAATTAGAAGAGGTTGCTCTTTTTTTTACTATGGTTTTAAAAATCTCACTTTCACATTACAGAGTTTTGGCAGTATCATAAAAATACCACAGGAAGCCTGGGTAACTTCATCATCATAACAGCAAATATCTCATTATTAATTTCATTATTATATTCAGGACATTCTTCTAAATATATTACATGACTTAATTTAATCCTCAGAACTATCCTGTGAAGTAGGAACCACTATTCTCCCATGTCTCAGATCAGAACACCGAGGAACAGTGAAGTTTAATAACTTGCATAAGTCACAAGCACTCGATTCATATGGGCAGTTTGATTTCCAACCCTATGTTCTAACAAGTATGCCAAAGATGAGACTTCTGAAATGACCAGCAAAGGTCTTTTTTTTTTTTTTTTTACCTGGGGTGGGGGGTGTTTGCCATATAGTATATTCATATGGTTTTCTGAGCTGGTTTTATTTTATTAAAAACATTTTAAGTAATAATATTAGTAGCTAAAATTTTACCACTTGACGCTTTGAGCAAAAATTGAGTATACATTTTGCATGTCATCTGTTTGCAACCCTAGGCACAGAATGATGGCCCCACACTATTGTGATAACATTTGTCTCAGTTGTTTTGGACAGTGGCGCGGAAGCAAATGGAAACTGCATTTTAATTTGTGGTAGGAGGTGGTGGTGTGCACCAGAGTCCACTGGGGAAAACGCAGAAGTGGTATAAGGAAAGTGTTTTCATTTTGACAATCTGATTAGCCACCACCGGACTCTGCACTTTTCTCATGCCTTCGTTTTTCTCCTCATATATTTGTCTCTTATTTTCTCTCTCTCTCATCCTTTCTTTTTCTCTCCCTTCTCCTCTTTCTCTCATCCCTTTCTCTGCTTAGCCCCACGTCCACGCCGTGCTGGGTCCATTCTCCCTGCCTCTCTCTCCTTTTCTCATTTAGAACCCAGGAACATTTCTTATTTGTTTTGTTTATTCAACATTAAGATCTATCACGGAGTCTTCATTAAGTGGCCGAATGGATTATGTGCAATCTTCTTCCCACTACAAAAACAATCCTTCTGAATTAACGTTCCATGAACACAAGCGCTCCTTGATTGACTTTTATTCTACTAGTTTAATGGTTTCTAGTTAATAAAATATGTCAGTACCTTATGGAAGTTTAGGACTGAGAAGGTTAGTAGGCCATGGCCTAAGAAGAAAATAAAGTGTCTGAGCATGAACTGCCCAAGGCCGTCGGCTTTCTCCTCACACTCCTCTAGCTCTTCCCCTCCCCCACAGACACACAACAGAGAAATCACACGCTGGACTGTTTCTTGGCCTATGGCCCACGTGGGGCTTAGCCCTGCTGTGGTTAAAGAGACGTATGGAAGGGGCACACGCTCAGAGACCTCAGCGCTGCATGTCAGGATGGGCCCTCAGAGGCTAAAACTGGCCAGAACGATCATCTCCCAAGCCCGGGATCTCTGCACCTCATCCCCAGAACTAATTTGTGCAGAGACATGACTCACAAATCTGATTACCAGGCAGAAAGTATATTTTAAAAAATCCTCTTCTCCCTGCTACAGGGACACTTCATTGTTTATTCGAAGTTGTGTGTGTGTGTGGGGGGGCTCCTCAATGTACAACGTAGTGTGTTTCTCCCTGATTGATAAGTACTGGGGGCTGCAGCCCTTTCCCCACTGACATGGCCCAGGCCAGATTCTCAGAATTCCTTGGGGACCCTACCTGCCCCTGGATCCTGGAAACCAAGTCATCACGTGGAGCCTTTATAACAAATCCTAGTTCCCCCTGCCCCACTTCAGCTCATAAAACTTCCTTGATTCTCTCTGAGAAGCCGCAGCCCCGTCAGTACCCCGGACAGCCCCACCAGGCACCTGCTGGCTTGCTCTGTAATCAGGCTGGGAGCCCTCATCCTCCTCCGGTTCCTCCAGTCCCAAGGACACTGTTTCTGCTTCCTCCTCTTCCTCACCATCTTCAGAGCAGGAATCAAACGTGTCAGCATAATACTCCTCAGCGATGCGTGGGTCTTCCGGGATCCCTGAAACAAAGAATAAACAGAGTCATGGCCCACCAGTAGTTAACATTATGAGGCTAGGATCCCCTGTGTTTCCCCCTAGACCAATATTTTGTCTGTACTGACAGAGCTTCCATGGAGTGTAAAGCTGAATCTTAGCTTCTGAAAGCATCTGGTTTGGAAGTAATAAATACTCAGCAAAATGAAACCAGTGAGGGGAAGGACTCTATTTGCAACCACATTTTTCAGATGGAAGGATAAAACCAAAAAACAAGAAGAAATGATCCCCTTTCACATCTTTAGGCAGGGGTCCTCATTATGTTACAAATGAGGTCAGTTAGGAGCAAAAGTGGGATGAGATGCCTTGGCCGGGGCCCCTATTACACACACACACACACACAGTTTTTGCAGAGGTGGTTGTAGTGAGACAATGTCAGCACTCTTCCTGGGAATTTTTTTTTAAAAGAAAATGTTAGTGGTGAAACCAGGTAAGATAGATAGGATATACAGCAGTGGTATTCTGGGAAGCTAAAGAAAATGTTACGATTTTTCCCTAACAAGCTATGAAGGCTTTTGAGATGAAGGGCCCCACTTACTCGCATGCATACAGGGCACTTATTTAAAACCAAAAAGAAAAGAGAGAAAGAAGAGAAGATCACCCGCTAAACTGAAGCCAGGCTACCTGTGGTACTTGATGTAATATTATTACTAAGAATACAGTTGGTGCTTATAATGGTCTTCAGCCAAGAAAGACCAAGAAAGGATCACAAAAAAGCAGAGCGGCACCAGCTCCATGGTGCTAACGGGGGACTAGAAACAGAGAACAGTCTTGGGAGACGGGAGGAGGTTACATAAGGACCCCACAGCACATTAAGACTGTGGGCATTCTGGGCCTTGCACCATGTTACACGGACATAAATATAATGGTTCTCCAGAATTATAACACGCTGCGCTGTTCTCCATCCTCTCATTGCCGATTTTTGTCTAGTGGGTAAATAGAGGCAAGGTTTGAGTGTAGTTCTACCACCTCTTAGACAAGAACCCAGACAAGGGATTGAACTCACTGAGTTCCAATTTCTCCAGTAAAACTGCCATGAAGATAGTCCAGCAGTGTAGCTACCAAGGTTCAGTAATATGATTCTTATAGAAACATCTATATACAGAAATACCACAAATGTTCGCTTCATTTCCACATCAGTAAAAATGGACTTTTAACTAACTGATCCCAGAATCCTTTGAAAGTAAAATACTAGTGGCTGTAGAATTCCCTGACATTAAATACTTTAAAATCTTTTCTGTCTACAGTTTCCCGTAAAACATAAGAGGCAGTACTGTGGAATCAAAACTAGTTGGCTAAAAAGACAAAAATCACATATAGTCAAAACTGCCTTTGCCAATTCCTTAGAAAGGGGCATGTTGTGAATCTCATAATTTCTCCCAGTAACTCAAACACAGACTGTTTTCCCTCCAGATCACTGATTTTCAGCTCAGCACCAGATGAAATAGATGGTTTGTATTTGGGGGAGTGTTTTATAACATTCTTTATTTGACTCACACTTACAAAGACAAAAAGATCAGAGCAAGAGAAGTATATGAAAACTAAAATCCACCAAGAGGTCACTTTAGGTCCCAGTTTTTACCTCAAGCAGGGACATATGTTCATTGAATGGAAAGGCAGACAAAACCATACGACTTCCTACCTCTCCTCCTCCCCATTCTCCTCTCCTCGAGTTTCCGTGTCTCTTTCAGAGAGTCATCCATTCTCCCTCTGTCTGCGACAGTTGCTCATGCCTTTCCTCATTCATATTTTCTCCCTCTCACACTCCCTCTTTCGCTCTATTCTTCTCCCTCCTCCCCCAATTTAGGCAAGAATATCTGCTTTCAAACTTGACTATGATACAGTAAGAAATATCATTTACATTGTTGTACACAAAAATGTGCCTATATTTGTGTATTGTATGTAAATATTTTTACAGTTGATAAAACTTTCATGTGTCAAGATTTACCCATACTATATATCTGACACACCCTGGTATTTTGCATTCTATTCAATTTGTTTTTAAATGCCAATTGCAACTTGCTAAACTGATTTCTCACTGCACAATTCGAAAAACACCAATTTATAATGCTGTCTTTGGCACTAGAGAAAGAGAGAGAGAGAGAGAGACCTACCTTTAAATCAGGCCTCTACCATTATCTCCAAAACATGAAACTTTCTGCATTTTGGAATTCTTGTCTATAAAATGGGGATGATAGTACCTATCTCACAGAATCATTGTGAACAGAAAATAGTATAACGGATGCAAAGTGCTCTGTACATGGTAGGTTCCCAATAAATGTTAGTCACTAACATTTAACATAAAACCTTGCACTGTTCCTGTAATGTTCAACACCAGGAAGCAACGTAAATATTAAATCATCATAAGTAATATCAAGTTTGAATTTTTTAAATATATTTAAAATAGAATCACTTCTTAAAATCCACACAGTACCCAACTCACATGGGCAATAAGGAAGCCCTCCTTTCTCTGGTCTCCCTCATGCTGGCTCCCGAGGGCCCCCTGGGCATTTCACCGTCCGTTCCCCCACTGCCCTTCCTGTCCACCCGCTCCATCGAGGCTCCTGCCAGGCAGCCCAGAGGAAACCTCTACAGCAGGGATGCACAAACTAGTTCTGTTAAGTGCTGGATAGTATAAAGTTTAAGTTTGCAGGTTACACAGTCTCTGTGATAACTACTCAACTCTTTGTAGTCTGAAAGCAAACACAGACAGTACATAAACAAACGGGTGTGGCTGTGTCCCAATAAAAGCTGTGTTCACAAAGCAGGCAGTGGACCAGACCATGCAACTGCACAACACAGAGGAACCTTTCTCCTCCTGGAGCGCAGCCGCAGTCCCCTTCCCCCGCCCCCCCCCGGGATCCCCTCCCAGGAAGGAAGGAAAGTGCCTTTCTACCACAGTTGCCTGAGTCATGAACTTACTGGTATGAATCCATCTTCAGTTTTTCTTAAGCACCATCAACTTGGTGCAGCTCAGGAACTGGTTCATTTTCAAAGGGAAAAGTCAAAAGAAATGCAAGTGTGCTGGAACTGTGTTTATCCAGTAGTATGTTTTTTGTACGTGGGCCCAAGATGAAGCCTTTTTAGGTTAAGGCTCATTTCTCCTGTCGCTGAGTGGAAAAAGGTCTGTGATAAACAGCTTTAATTTCCTCACACCCAGAAGTCAGCCTGGTAACAGGCACACTGGAGCGGCAGTCCCGGTCCCTCCCCTGCACTGGGTAGGCAGTGACAGAGCGAGTTCGAGAAGTAACCCAATAATGGCTGCCTCAGCTTGGACACAGTGATTGCAGATCTGTGCTGGAGAAAAACAGAAGCAATCGCCCTGTTCTGGGAAAAGGGTGCTCTTTGTCACACCCTTTAATTCAGACCCAAATAAATCTCTTCCTATGAGGCTTAAGTGAGCATCCGGATCACCTGCAGCGCCTGTTAAAACCCAGAGCTGCTGATTCAGTGGGTCAGGAGGGAGGCCTGAAATGTGCATTTCTAACCATTTCCCAGGGGATGCTGCCGCTGCTGGTCTGCAGGCCCCACTCTGAAAAAGACTGCTCTGGTCCGGGAGTAGTTCAAATAAAAGTGCCATCGCCTGCTGTGTAGAGGTACTATAATAAAATACATGTGACAATGTAATATCTCTCCATCTTACAACCTTTGTATATTAGACAATAAAAAAACAAGTGAACTTTAGAAGAGTTTTCATTGTGCTATTAGCTGTTTCAACCACTCACAATCTCTATGGAGTTATAAAGGATTATTTTCATTGTACTGATGAGGAAGAACAAAGCTGTAAGCAAGTAGCCCAAAGTTACAACACTTTACAGTTTATAAAAGCATATTCATACTCATTATTCCATTTGATCAGTGTGGCAATTATTCAAATGAGGCCAGGACACATTTTTATCTCATTTTTCAGATAATGAAAGAGGCTCAGAAAGGACCAACCAAAGGTCACGTAGCTGCATGCTTGGTGGACACTGGACTAGAATGCAAATTGCCTGACTCCTGTCTCTTTTTGCCACTGAATTCGTGCTATTTTATGATTAGCTAGAAATTTTCATCTTTGCTAGTAAAACCATGCCACAGATAAAAGCTGTGATTATCTTCCCCTTAACTCTGAAAGATGTTGGGCCACAGACAGACTTCTGATTTACAAAATAGGAAAACTGAACTTTAGTCATCCTGGTGAGTTGTCTGCAGGGACCTGGGGACATTGAATGCCAGGGGACCTCACTGAGACTCGGCCAACTGTCACCACTCTCTACCTTAGATGTTCTCAAACGGGAGGACCACCAGGTGCCTCAGACTCTGCTCCAGCTGCAAGATACCCTGGATCTCCTTTTTATTTTATTTTTTAAAAGATTTTATTTACTTTAAATTTTTAGAGAGGGGAAGGGGAGGAAAAAGAGAGGGAGAGAAATGTCAATGTGTTGTTGCCTCTTGCGTGCCCCCTACTGGAGACCTGGCCCACAACCCAGGTATGTGCCCTGACTGGGAATTGAACCAGTGACCCTTTAGTTCACAGGCCTGCACACAATCCACTGAGCCACACCAGCCAGGGCTATGCTGGATCTCTTTACATATCTAATAATAGTGTCAGAATTGATTAACCCTTGTTGAGCTTGATGGCCAAATGACTTGGGAAACCCGACAGACTTACGTGCAGTATTATGACCCTTTTCCCAGGAAGTTGACAATACTCACAAGATACCTTTAAAAATTGTCTCACTCCATCCACTATATGGGGGAAAGAATCTCTTCGTAAAGACAGAATGCTCTTTATTTTAGCTGTGGTGGGGCAGGCTGGGTGTGAGTTGGGGGTTGGAGATGACCTTCTTTATTTTTCCTTTCTTTCCTAGCTTTCTGAAGGGGCGGATAGCTTTATGACACTGAACAAGGGCTATCATAAGAATAAACCAATTTATTGTTAGGTCTTGATGTGGCCTCTCCAAAGACCACGTTCTCTCTACCA